TCATTTGTCTTTTAAACAAGTACTAAAATGTTTTTTCTATTGCATACAGGTGAGAACTGCAGGCAGCGTGTTCATTCGTAGGGTTGGACCCAGAAGCAGGCAAACACGAGGAGCTCGAGTAGAAATAAACAAAAATAAAATATTAAATTAACAAAAACAAAGAGCTGGCATGGCAGCAACACTTATGTTGTTGCAGTTGTTGCTGCCCCAACACTTGTAGGGCGGCGGTGGCTGAGTGGTTAGAGCAGTTGTCCTCCAATGCAAGAGTTGGGGGTTCAATTCCACCAGCAGTCGCATGTTGAAGTGTCCCTGGGCAAGACTCTGAACCCCTCATTGCCTCCAATGTGTGTCCCATCCGTGTATGAATGGGATCCATAGCACTGATTATTCTTTGTGAAGGTAGAGTGCTGTATGAATGGGTAAATGAGGACACACATTGTAGTGTCAATGACTTTAGAGTATCTTGACCAGATAGAAAGGCGCTACATAACAGTCCATTTTACCATTTACTTAAAAACTCAGGAGAACACACAAGCCAGACTGAGACATCAGGCAGGTATCCAAGACAATGAGGTGCTGGATAGTAAGATGTAGTTTAAATAGAGCAAAGGGTGAATGGAAAGTGGTAGCACCCGAGCACCTTAATTTCTGGACTATAAGCTGCTACTTTTTTCGCACACTTTGAACCCTGTGGTTTATACAAAGCTGCAGCTAAATTATGGATTTTTTTTTTTTGACGAGTTAACGAGCTTCATGCCCCCAAAACATTTAGCCTCGTCGCACCTGGGCGCTCGTATAGCTGCCCAGTACACATCTCTCTTGAGGCTACCTGTATAAATAAAGGTAAAAAATAAAATCTGACCAATGAAATTACCGAACAGGCCACAGTGGACCAACAAAACAGGGACGGGAGGAGGAATGCCTCCCCATTGTGCCCCCAGGGAGGGGGGAGACAAAGTATTTGCATCCACTCAAAATAAGTGTGAATCGTACATTTAAAATGGCGCTCCGAGCTCAGTGCGATGCAGGCAGGCAGCTGCGTGATGGAGGACAGCACAAGCTTGCGCAGGAGGAAGACCAAGATTGCGATCAATGACTTCCTGTAGATTACTGTATTTATTTATTTATTTAACCAGCCGTGTTTTAGGCACTGTTCAGAAAAAAATTAAATATTTACTGTACGTATTTGTGAATGTTAACAGTACGTATTTAATTAAAAGTTTTAAAAAATCTTTATGTGTAAATATCTCGGCTTATAGACAAGCACAGCCTATATATGCACAGAATTTTATTTTATTTTTTAATTTAATTGGCACGGCTCATATTCGGGTGCACTCACTAGTCCATGAATTATGGTAATTACTGACTGGGAACAGGCTGAATGAAGAATTCTGAGAGTGGACTGAGGGCAGAATGAACATGACACTGGAAACACTGAAACAAAGATTGATTTAAATATGAAATACAGAAACACAAATGTTTAAGTATCTAAACAAAATGTTGCAAACAGGCAATGGAAATTCACAAAGAGAACCTAGATAATTGAGAAAATAACTGAATAAACTCATATCATCATCATGATCTTTGTTAACAGTGTGTGCAGAGTGTGGTTTTGAATTGTTTGTTGAGAAATTCCTGGACTACCCAGGAACAATTGTCCCAAAGCCAGCATGTGTTGATTTAAAGCCTCAGTGTAATTTTCTGCATGATTGCTGTCATCACATGAATATCTTGCCAGAAACGCTTAAAATAATCTTTATTTATTGTTTGGTGCATTCAGCACCCATTAAGAAACAAATCAGGAGGACTGCTTCCTTTGACCACATTTGGGATTTCTGAGTAACGGTCCGTCTTGGAGGCTGCAGAGCTCGGAGATCTCAAGGCTTCCATTAGAAATGGTTAACTCAAGGCTTGTATTTGCACAGTAAAATTGTGACATTTGTGAAAACAAGTACACATTGTAGTGCTTAAAAAGTAATGCCTCGCCCATGTGCTTAATCCCCGGCTCATGTGCTTAAATCAGTGGTGATGAAAAACAGCTCTTGATGTAGGGCTTGTCTGAGGCATTGGAAATCACAGCTGTTTACCTCAGGTCTGCAATCATACACAAGGATAACCAACAAAGTCCATGCTCAATAATCCAGGTATACAATCCAACAATTTTCAGTCAGGTCATCTGGACAGTTTATTTTTTTTTGTGCTGAAACGTTTCACCTTCCATCCAGAAGGTTTCTTCAGTCAAGGAAACACACAACACAAAACTGATTCTTCCCCTAACAGCTTACTCCAAAGTGGAACAAACCAGTTATGTTGGTGCTAAGATGGTCTCTTGGGCACGCCCCCTCCCCCAGTGCCAGCCCTCTTTCTCATTGACAGTCATGTCAAACTGGTTCAAAACCAACAAAGTCCATGCTCAAAAATCCAGGTATACAATCCAAGAATTTTCAATCATCTGGACAGTTTCTTTTTTTTTTTTTTTTGTGCTGAAACATTTGTATAACTGGATTATTGAGCATGGTCTTTGTTGATTTTGAACCAGTTTGACATGACTATCCATGAGGAAGAGGGCCAGCACTGGAGAAGGGGGTGTGCCCAAGAGACCATCTTAGCACCAACATAACTGGTTTGTTCCACTTTGGAGTAAGCTGTTGGGGAAAGAATCAGTTTTGTGTTGTGTTTCCTTGACTGATGAAGTCTTCTGGATGGAAGGTGAAACGTTTCAGCACACAATAAAATAAAGAAACTGTCCAGATGACCTGACTAAAAATTGTTGGATACACAAGGATAATTTTACACAGTTCATGAAAATGTTTCCTGACATATTTTCAAGGAAACAAAAGATTAGGAAACGTGTTAACACTGCATGCTGCAGAATTGTCATGTAGATCACAAATTTGACTACATTCTGATACCAAGTCCATTTACTCTTCCTCTGCCAAAGGTCTCCATTCAGTTCAATTCAGATTATTTCTAAAGCGCCAAGTCACAGCAGAAATCATCTCAGGGCACTGAACAGAAACATTCACATACTTTATAAATGCCAATTAGTAAAGTTATCTATTTAAGGAAGGAAACAAGCAGATTGTGTTGTCTTTATTTTGTCAGTCTCCCATCCTGAGCTCACCATCCTCCAGCTCCAGCAGAGGCTGCACCCTGGAGGGATAAAACCAGTGACTTTACTAAAGCTTCCACTCATTATGTTCATGGCAGACATATTTAGCTGCTTAGAAATCCCCCAATCTATTGCACCTCTGCTCAACAACAAATTGATAAAATTCATTGTCTTAATTCTTCCTGTCCCATTTATTTTTTTCTGCAACATACTGTGGAGTGAGACGTGTTAAAAAGCTGTCTGTATGTTTTAAGAGGGATTGTTTTCAAACAAATAATTTTTCTGATACATTTCTTAAGTTGAAATTTATAGGCACCTTGACTAAATTTAGTTTAGTTATGCTCATATTTGCTCCTGAAATCCTCTATTTTTGTGAATAATTATTTTATATTACAGTCGCCTATAATCAGTTTAAAGTATTATCATTAATATTATTAATATAATGATGTTTAAACAAGATTCAGGCTTTAAGCGGTGGAGTGAAAGTCTGTTTGGAACACGGTTTACGAGATTAACATAAAATGTGCTCCCTTTAATCAAATAAAAGTCAAATTTATTATTTATTTATTTTTTTTACAATATGCATTTGGTCCAATTCCACAACTTTTATGATTTATAGAAAATATTTTTAATAAACATGTGTCACTGACCTGGTTCTGTTTGGTGTGGGAATGAGTTATGTAGAAGCAATAAAATGATGTAAACCTAGCTTGATAAAATAGTTTACATCAGGTCTGCAGCGTCTCCAAAAACCATGAGAAGATGATCAACAACGGAGGAAGAGTTGACAACATTGAGGGCCCACACACACAGAAACAGATCCATCTACTTGTAAAACATCAAAACTGGCTCAGTGGTACTCAAAGGGAATCTAAACAATGTTTATTCCCCCAGAGAGAACCAGCACTTTCTAAACACTAACCCATCTTAAAGCTTAAACATACATTCCCTCCAAAATGAAGAAAAGTAGATGATCTCCTTTAAGAGGAGCTAATTTTTGTACCTAAAGGAAGACAGATACATTAGCGACTCCCCCCACCACATGTATTGTGCTTGTATAAGTTTGACCTGGTTAAGTTCAGGGAATGACATCCAGCTGATCAGCTTCTTCAGGGCAGACGCAGTTTTATCAGTTGCTATTTTTGCAGAAAGGAAAAAGGAAGTAGTCACACTTCCTGCTTCCTTTGTGTGGAACGCAATTATCATGACACTTGTTTCCTTACGCACCACTTCTTTTGTCATTGTTCCTTTTCTTCTGCCTTGACTTTGATCTTGGTTCCGTTCATTCTCTTTTCCCTTGTTTAAGTTACAAATGTACGTTTTGAAGTTCCATCCATCCATCCATCCATCCATCCATCCATCCATCCATCCATCCATCATTTTTACCTGCTTCTTCCTTTTCAGGTCACAGGGGTCACTGGTGCCCATGTCCAGCCATCACTGTGCATTAAAAAATATAGTAATCAGAGTTTTACAGTTTGTTTTACATCAGTATGCTGGTGGCTGGCATTCAAGCCTTTAAAGACATGAGTACTGTGAGGAGGGACTTTCACATCTCTACCAACAATACTCTGTTTTATTACAACATGTGCTATCAATAAGCAGTGTTATCCACGCTTTTGGTTCCCTTTATTACCATGAAAATCAGCGTATCTGCGTTTAGATGACAGTTACTATAATTTAATTTTTTGGGGGCCTTTCTATAAAATCGCCATGTGTTTTTGTGCTAAACAAAGAGTTCTTTCATCCTCCACAAGGGCAGGAGTTTAATGTTGACGTACTTTAAACATTTACCATTTTATCTATATAGCATTTTACTTTTAGGCACCCTTAGTTAAAACCTCATGGTAGTGTTTTAAAACTGTATGTTTGCGTTTGTGTGTTGCAGACAGAGTGTGCCAACTTTGTCCGCCTTCTGCAGCCTTACAACCGCACCCACCTGCTGGCCTGTGGCACCGGTGCCTTCCAGCCCATGTGTGCCTTCATCTCTGTGGGCCACAGAGGAGAGGTATGTCAGGATTTGGTGGTCAGGAACGAACCCAGTAGTGCAGACAGGACTCAACTCGGCAGATTACAAAAATAAGTATTTTTAATAGAAAATAAAGAACAAAATAATAGCTGACGTGGCAGCAAGACTTACATGAAAACGGATGGCTCAAAGGGAAACTCAGGGAGGACTCAGGAAACTCAGGGAAGACTCAGAAGACGCAGGAGAACACAGGAGACCCAACGAATACGACCCGACAAAGGAACAACACAGAACAGGAGGCTTATATACAAGGACGAGACCAGACGTGATTACAACAGGTGTGACGAGACACAGGTGGCAACAATTAAACTGACAAGGAAACACTAGGGAAACAGACACAGAGCCAGTAAATAGTACCATCCTTACAAGGTAAGGTGATGTGTTTGTGTGTTTTGGGGGATTCTGGTGAAAAGGCTGGAGTCCTGTATTCCATTATATTATACATTTAAAGATAATGTACATACAAATACAAAGGAATCGTTTCATACATGTACACATTTAAAAAGCATGTTTAAGCTGCTTTATTACTATATTTGTTAGAAATATGTCTTATAGAGGGTAAAACTTCACTTGAACTGTGTGTTTGTTTAGAAAGTTTAACTGTTAATGTCACTGAGAACAGAAAAATGTCTAATTTTCCTGAAAGTTTTTTTTTTTAATCTTTTTATTAAAACATCATGCAGCAAAACCTGGGGAGCATTATTCAAGCTTTTAGTATTTTTGTAGCTTCCTACAAAATCTAACAAGACAGACAGACAAACAAAAATACAGACATAACTTTATAAATCCTCAGTGAAGATATTAGATTAGATTATACAAGAAAATGTTTAAATTGAGACATTTGAAACAGATGTGCATTTTCAAATTTGTCTGGTCATACCAGCCTTATTTACACCCATCTGCTCACTACAGACTCATGTTCGAGCTGCTGTTTAATACACTGTATTTTTTTGACATTATTAGTGTTTAACGTATATCTTAGATCTTTATATACTGTTTCTTTTTATCCATCCATCCATTATTTTTTACCCGCTTCTTCCATTTTGGGTCACGGGGGTCGCCGGTGCCCATGTCCGGCAATCACTGTGCGAGGGGCGGGGTACACCTTGGACGGTTTGCAAGTCCATCACAGGGCCACATAGAGACAAACAAACATTCACTCTCTCACTCACACCTAGGGACAATTTAGAGTTACCAATCAGCCTAACATGCATGTTTATGGTCTGTGGGAGGAAACCGGAGTACCCGGAGGAAACCCACGCACGAACAGAGAGAACATGCAAACTCCACCCAGAAAGGCCTCCGGACCGGGATTTGAACCAGGGACCTGCTCGCTGAGAGGCAGCAGCTCTACGAGTTGCGCCACCGTGCTGCCCTGTTTCTTTTTATACTTTATACAATTTTGTTCCGCCTCATGTATCACATGTGATACGAATGATAATAAACCTTAAACCTTATGAGTGTTTGAGGGTAACAATGTGTGTCTTCAAACATTTCAACTCACATCATTGACGGTGTCCTGATGATATGTTGGTTAGGGTGTTTTTCCATTGGTCAAAAATTCTGCTGACACCTGAACATCTGGTTTTTGATCACAAAGAACACAGTTTAAAAACAGTCATGGCCTTGAAATGGCTGCAGATGTATTCTACACTTGCTTCTGGATTTTATCCAACAATAGATGTATCTACAACATTGTCCTGTTCTTTTTAGTTGGTCTCGCAGTGCAGTTTATCAAATGCCCGTTTTAATGTTGCAATAATTGAGATGTCCCTGTATGGCCTCAGAGTTCAACTTAAGAGGAGGAAAAGCAGGTTAATGTAACAAATATCCTTGAGGTTTTTCTCTTCTTTTTTTTTTGTTGTTGCCCAGACTGGGGTCTGACTACAAATCACAGGGGTCTCAACATGTAGCCATTAAATGATTTTTTTTCCTTTAGGGCTGCTCACCCACACTATACATCTTTTCAGCTGCGCAGGCTGGCTCTCCTCAGTCATTCAGCTCAGTGGGACCCTCTGCAGAGTCCCACACTTGTAGCCATTTGAAGTACAAGAACCCATGAATGGGGCTATTAAGAACCAACTCGTAAGTTTCTGTTTCAAAGCAGTTTTTTTAGTCCGTTGACGGGTTTGCAGTCCTGCCTGGCCCAGCAGGAGGGGGTCAAAATCTGCATTTAAAAGAGGGCAAGCTGATATTGGCAAAGCTGTGTGAAGGAAGCCAGCGTAATGAAAGAGTGCCAACCATTTAAAGTTTGTGTAGTGTTCTGTGTGCATGAGTAAAGGGGACTACACTCCAGCATTTTCCATTTGTTCTCATATCTTTTTGCATCATTGTGCGTGTTCCTTGTTCTCTGTCATTCTCTGTTTCCTTCTCAGTCTGTCAGTTGTGGTTTTTGTTTTGTGTGTTTTTATAGAACATCATAAAAAAAACAATACGTACACAAAGAAATACAGCAGAATCCTTTAAAACTTGAATTGAGTTTTAAGACAAAACGTGATTTAATGTCAAATGCAGGTCGCTTGTTTGTATCCTTAAATTTGCCGTTTGTTATTTATTTTTTGGCTAAGTTTTTGAAAGTTGCTAGCAACAGTCCAACTGTCTTGTCTGTGATGTCACTCCAACAGATTGTGCAAAAGACAGGTCGTGTCATGGATCTGACTTGTGGAAAAATAAATAAACAAATAAACGAGAGCTGTTAAAAGAAAAAAACTCGTACGATTTTATTCTGGTAAATTTATGCCTTTTTATTTATTTTTTTCTTAGCATGGCCCTAAAGCTCTGTCGTACTGATAAGACTCATTTGAGCGATAAGAATTTCTAGCATCTTGGAAGCAAATAGTAAAAAAACGGGTAGTTTTAATACTTTTGCGCAGTTCTACAAATTAACAAATGTAGATCTGTTTGAGTCTATCAGGATAAACTAGCACCAGTGGTTCTGCTGTGTGTGTTTCTGTGTGTGCGCTAACGTCATCCAGACTGTGATCGTGTCCTCTCAGGTAGTCAGTCTGCTCGACAAAACAGCACCAGAGGGAGTCTGTCCATTTATTTAACCAGTTGTTAACTGCTGGAGAACACATCCCCGCCTGTTTGTGGGACACCTCCTGGCCCTCGGACTGGACTCTGGGTGGGATGACCTTTAACACTGAAGGTCTTTTATCTCTGTTAGGGGCAGACGTACACACACTGTTTCTATCTCACACACCCCCTACATTATATTGTCATTTAAATGTCAGAATTTCATGTCGGAGAACAAAAATTACACTAAAACAATAATATTTAGTTAATTTTCCAACAAATGGTGTAAAACAAAAAGCCGCTTCTTGAAACAATGTTTGGTCGTAAAAAAAAAAAAATTGGACACAGTTTCTGTTTAAGCTAATCTCCATAATATTTCATGGGATAAAATCAGAATGTATTTACAAATATTATAGTTTGGTAATCACATCCTCATGATGGGAGAGAGTATGTTTCATATTTCTGGGCGATCAAGGGAAACAGACATTTCAAAGCCACAGAAAACATTTTTCAACCGTGGCGTAATGAGACTGAATTTTATGGAGCTGTAGTCAAACATTTGCGTTATGTTCTTTTTTTTTTTTAATGTCTTTAGTAAAATATAAATATTGTGTGTAAAATGTATGTTTCACATAACTATCATCATATGGTGTTCATCTTGACCCCCCCCCCCCCATGTGAAACCACAACGTGTTTTTTCGTCAGTGTTGCTTCTCTCGGTCTCTCTAAACCACAACCTGACACTCACAAAATAACGAGAGCCAGAGTCCCCACGGTGAGCGACACAACGGCCTGCACGACGTCATACATGTGCAAATAAACCTCCGTGGTGCGGCGACGACATGAAGAAGACAAGACCACACGCACACACACAAACATCCAGTCAAGCCAAACAAATGACACCAAACTGAACATATAAATACGCAGCGATGCAGGCAGAAACACACACAAACATGATGAGACACACACATTCCAGCATAAACAAAAAGAAGCAAGTTGTGTGGCAAAGTGCTCTGTGAACACCGAAGGTGCACAAAACAAAATATAAAGGTATACATGACTTGTAGTCCTTTTCGACTAAAATCATTATATGTTGATAAATGATGGCGTTGTAGCCATTTTAATTTTCAATCCTTAAAAATAAAGTTATGTTTGATCTTACGCAATATTATGCGCTGTCACAGTCACAGTCCGTGTTGTGAATGACTCCCTATTACCATATAACGTTGCAACTCTAAAAACTTCTCTGATTATCTTTATTTGGATTGACTCCAAAAAAAAAACATTTCCACTGAATCCTTCACACAAAGTAAAAATCAAGTCTGTAGACAATGTCCTTTTTTAAAATGTTAAATACATTTGTTTATAAACTCATAGTTTAAAATATATGATTGACTAATTGTTATATAAAACAATGGGCGGCTGTGGCTGAGTTGTTAGAGCAGTCGTCTTCCAATGCGAGAGTTGGGGGTTCGAATCCACCAGCAGTCACATGCCGTAGTGTCCCTGGGCAAGACACTGAACCCCTCATAGCCTCTGATGTGTGTCCCATCGGTGTATGAATGTGATAAAGCTCTGATTAATCTGAAATAAGATAGAAAGTGCTATATAAGTACAGTCCATTTACCATATTTGCTCTCTGAAATATTTTTCCCCTTTGGAAAGCCAGGCAGCGTTAGTAATTCAAGGCTTATGTACATTTATACAAACTACACTCAATTCAATGTGGCTTTAGCAAAAATGGATAGTTTTTCTTTATTGTGAGATCATAAGTTAAATATTAAAAACCACAATGAATTAGGAAAGTGAGGTCTTTTTACTTGTAAAATGACACAGATTCATGCGTGTCTAATGAGCGGTCTCACTGGCTCCGTAGTGGGGGTCCAGTGGGTTGTGTTTGGCAGAGCTCGGTGTAAAGTGGCCTGGACGTCTCCCTCTTTGTTTCACAGAACTTGTGCGTATTTGTTTTGACAGTTTTTGACCCTGGTGACTCTGCTCATCTAATGAGTTGCACAGCTTTTCTGGAACACGATATGAACACACACACACACACGCACACACACACACACACACACACACACACATTAGGAAATCCACTCTGTTTTTTGCTCATATGATATGAACAAACGAAAAATAAAATCTAACAAAAACATAAACCAAAAATTATTCCAAAGGAGGCCTGGGTGACAGTTACATCAAATCAGATTCAGATTAGTTAAATCTCTTTTATTCTAAGTTTGTTGAAGTGTGAGTTTGTGTTTATGCAGTGCGTGTGCCTGACCTGAAAAAGTCATTCATGCCTCTTGATGAACATTCAGAAAGCTACATGAATGAAAATATTTTAAAGTATTTGCTTTTTCCAGAGATCTGGTGTAAAACTGAGTTTGTCTTTGCCTTGTTCATGTTACTCAGCACGTATTGCCGCATTGCACAAGTGAGTGTGTTGTCCCATGTTTCTAACTGTTTTAACGCAGACTTCAATGTCATCTCCCCTGTGATCTCTGCTCAGTAAAGGACTCGCCCACCTCACAACAATACCCCATTGTCTATCAGAGGAACTTGGACTGAAAAACAGAGTTCACTCTGAGGCCACTTTAATATAAGATATGGACTTTTATTTTAAAATCAATCCCAAAGTTTCACCGTCGGTCTCGTCACTTCCCATTCCTCCTTTTATCCTGAAAGTAGACGGTGTTTGATCCCACCCATTTGTCTCTGGTGCAGACAGGCTGGTGTGTTGGTGGCGCTGAAATGAAAGAAGAAAGACTAAAACAAAGGGCCTTTGGTTCAAAGTGGCCCTCTTTTGACCAAAGTCACACAAACCAGGGATGTGGAAAGTATTCATCAGGTGAATTTGACAAGCTGATGAATGATAAAAAAAAAATACTGTTACTTATTTTAGAGATAAAGTCGTAACAAAAACTGATTTCCTGAAAGGAAAATTCACCAATGACAAGTATAAGTATCTTTTTGTTTGTATTGATTTTTGTTAGCTTTTTACTATATTTTTGGTCAGTTCGTCTTCCTTGTAGTAGTCCTTAAGAAAACCCAGGTCTGAAACAGTAGAAGCTCATTTTATGAGTCCGTTGTTAGGTTTAGCTGTAAAATGTGAATTAAAGCTTGGTTAGGTTTATGGCTGGGCATGTACTGATAATAGTTATGTTTAGGGTAAGAGTCAAAACTGCAGGCTACAGAATGAACGTTAAAAAAAAAAAAAAACCCTAATAAAGATGGAAATACAAACACAAGTGTTGAGAGGGTGTGTTTGAGTCCTAATGCTTTGACCTGTTGTTTGTTGTTTGTTTCATTCAACCTTTATTTATGCAGGTTAGTCTCATTGAGCCTCTAGGAGTTATTTACAAGATATCTGTTTTAAACAAATAACACAGAGGAGGTACACACTACAATAGACAATCATATAAAAAACATATAAAATGAAAAAGTAAATGGAAGAAATGATGTAAAAACAAAATAAAAAAAAATCCCAGCTACATTACCAAGCGGTGTAAAACACTAAAAACAGGAACATGTCTGCGCTGGTTTTTGCCATGAGCTTTGCAGTTGTTTAAAGTCCCTTAAAGAGGTCAAGGTCAAGAGATTCAGATCTTTTTGCAAGATATTCCAGTATACAGGAGTAGAGTAGGAGAAGGCCCTTTTGCCGAGTTCGATCCACACTGAGGGTACACTGCATGTAATTATGTCCTAAGAGCGCACGCTGTAGCTGCACTCACGCAGGAGAAGATATGTGAAAACAGCAGACCAAGAAGTGATTTAAAGATGAAAATGTACCAGTGAGAGTCTGCATGAAGTTAATGATGACTGGTTAACCAGTGATGGATGCAATGGTGGATACGATAGTTACAGCCAGCTATGAATCTTAGCGCACCGTGACAGACAGCATTCAACATCTGCTGGGTGCTTGTAGGGGCGTTCATGTAAATAATGTCAAGTTAGTCAACGGAGGGAAGGAATGTAGCAGTTATAAGGCACTTCTTAGTGTTGAGTTAGATAGGATCTATTTCTAAAAAAGAAACCCAGTTTTACTTTCAATTTCTTTTCCATGTTTTTGTCATGAGGCTTAAAAGAGAGATGCACATCGACCAAGATACCCAAGTATTTATAAGAATCATCAAACTCAATAGGGACACCATTTGAAGATAAAATAGAAGGAAGAACTGCTGGGACTGACTTCCTGTTTGAAAACAACATCCCTTTGGTTTTATCAGCATTTAGCACCAGTTTGAGACGGAACCAATCTGACTGGATGATGTCGAATGCAGACTGTCAAAGATGGAAAACCTTAGCAACTGTTCTAGCTCGACAATAAACAACTGTGTCGTCCGCATAGGTCTTCAGAGTTTAATAGAATTTTATGCTCCTTAAAATCATAATAAAATCTGCCACTATCAGCATTCTGTTATTGTAAAAAGTCTAAACTTTTAATGTAGTTTTGATAGTAGTGGGACTTGTGTTTCATTTTATTAGCCGTCTGGCTCCTCTGCATTCGGGACTCTATGACTCTGGGAACTGAGAGAGAAATTTTAACTCTGGCAGCTACCAAGATCCCAAATTTCCTCTTATCTCAGACAGAGCTTTTGTTCTCAGACAGGCAAGAGTTCGATGAAGGGACAAATACATTTGAACAGATGTGTGAAACTTTTCAAAAGCCCAAGATTGCCCTGCTTGTGTGAATAAGAGGCAAAATACTGACCTTCCAGTTAGTGTAATTAGAATAGCAGCTTTGGGCTGATTTACTGCACGGCCTTACCTGTTGACCTTTGCTAAGTAAGATAATCAGTATCAGGTGCTGCGGTGGGCTGACTGTTCGTAGAGTTAAAAGGAAAAGATTTTCCACTTGGAAGAACTGATGAAGAAAATGTGATTCTGCAATTAATTTCAGCTCTGTAATCGGAATCACATGAAGCAAATTGATATTTCAAACATTTCTGGAGAGGTCCCTCCTCAGAGACCACCTGCTGGAATCAGCTACATGTAACTCTGATTTTTTTTTTCTTTCTCAGCATGTGTTCACAATGGATCCAAAGAATGTGGAGAGCGGACGAGGAAAGGTTCCACATGACCCCAACTTCCCATTTGCCAGCACCTTCAGTGGTATTTTTTTGTTTTCTTCACAAGTTCTCAAACTGTTTATGCAGCTAAATTAGCAAAACTAATCATTTCATGTACTCTAACCTCTTTTAATTAGACATTTACTTAAGTTAAATTGATAACTTTACTAAAAGCAACATGATAACCCTTCTTGGACTGTGACACACCTACTCTTTGGACCTGTGCTCACTAGAACAAAAAAAAAGTTTTGGGTGTTTCTTTCTAAGTGTCATTGGGTATTTATTGTAGCTTATGAAATAACCTAGATTTATGCCAGTGACAGATGATCCTGGGATTTTTTTAGGGGTGGAGGCATGGATGGTGTGTGTATACATCTCATCTTTTCTCCACAGCTGGGTGATTCGAGCTTCAGAAATCCTCCCACAGTGCTTTGGTTTGGCAGGAGAGCCTTACATTTAGAGCCAAGTATTTAGTAGTTTGGAGCTCAGCTGTGATGTGCAGTGGCCACGAGGTCCTCACAGACATTGATGAGGTGAACTGTAAATGCTGGAAGAAGATGGAGATGAGTTTAAGGTGTCTCACTTTAGTCCAAAATGCTGACTCAATAAATTTCTTGGCCTCATTCGTGTCAGCAAATTTGCACGAGATAAAAACACAGATCCAATTCTAACTTTTGTTTTGGGATTTGATTGACTTTCAGTATGCAACCACTTAACATGAGAGATCTTTTATTGTAAAAATGAGTATCACGTTTATCGTTGTTTTATATAATTTTTTTAAATTTTTGTTTTAGCGTAAAATAGAGCATTCTGGGTCGGAGCATAGAAACTTTGAGCAATACTTTCCAGCTCTGTATGATAAACATAAAATGAAAAAAGCAAGAACGAAGAAGTTAAACTTTATTAAAGTCCTTCTCTTTAACCATCAGCCTAAATGTTTTCTTTAAGGTTCTTCTAAAAAAGCTCAAAGCTCAACTCCCCTGGTTCTGTCAGCACTTATTACATTACCTATCTGTTTACGTTCCTTGGGAGATAACTTTAGACGTGAGTCCAAGTTGACTGTATGTGTGTCGGATATATGAAGAAGGATGAGAGTGTAAAGTTCTGATATTGTTACTGCTGCCAAAGAAAATAAGGTTTTTTTTTTATTATTTAATTTATGACTGCACCGAAGAGCAATCTGTGATCAGATTCATTTTCTACAACGACTGGAAAAAATTAAAACCAGCTGAAAGAAAAAAACATCAATTAACATAGAAAAACTTTCTTTTAATTACAGTATTAGGTGAAAAGCGAGGGTAAGTGTACGTTTTATTTTACCCCAAGTATTTTTCAAGGCCATGGAGACAGTTAGGTGACAGATAGCTCTGATAGGTATGCTCATACATCATATAACCCAAGTGCCAGAGGAAAACTCTGATGTTCTGTTTCCACTTGCAGGAATTTTATTTAGTCCTGGAAGGTGAATGTTTGTTCACTGCTGCACTCTGAAGAATGTTTGGCTTTCAAAATGCTCACAGCTCTCTCAATGAGTTCAGATTTGTTTAATTTCTTCTTCCTGCCCTTCAACTATTGCCCAAAGCACAAAATATTCATATAACTTCTTTAAAGTTAAGCTGCACATTATTATTATTTTACTCAGCCTTTTCTTGCCTATTGCTGCCGTTCCATGTAAATATTATCAGGGCAAAAGTAAAACATCTGATCGAGACCCGCAGACTACCCAGTTGGTAGTTTGGGTAGATATTGTCTTGAATGTCTCGAGATCAGTTTGAGCTACAAAACATGGAGACATTTGTATCTGATAAATGACAGAATGACCTCAGTCACAACTGTATTAATCAAAACATGACGTTGTTTGTACTTCTACCCAATGATGGTCAATCAGGTCACCTGGACAGTTTCTTTTTTGTGGAGAGACATGTCACCCTCGAAACAAAAGGGCTTCATCAGTCTGAGGGGTCCCACGTAAACTGTTTCCCCACCAAGCAGGACACCCCTTTAGTAGACCAAGCAGTTTGCTGGTGATAAGATGGTTTCTGGGGGCTGTCCTGTCCCCCGTCAACTCCTCCCAGGCATGCAGCCACAGCCAAAGTGGTTCAAGACATCAAAGTTCATGCTCAATCATCCAGGTACAAAATCCAATCACGGTCACTCAGGTGATGAAGCCCTCTGGATAGAGGGCGAAACGTCTTTCCACAAAAAAGAAACTGTCCAGATGACCTGAGTGACCGTGATTGGATTTTGTACCTGGATGATTGAGCATGAACTTTGATGTTTTGTAATTCTACCTCTTTTTGTTTTGTCTTACAGCATTTTTTGAAACATTTTTTTCTACTCGTCATATTTTCAGTCCTCAATTTAAAATTATGTTTAAAATGTCACAATAATATTTTAAATGCGTTATTTGAAAATGTTGTCCCTGACTCTGTCTGCAGGTGGAGAACTATATACAGGACTGACGGCAGATTTTCTTGGAAGAGACTCTGTAATCATCAGGAGCATGGGGGGTCGCACCACCATGAGGACAGAGACTGACCAGAAACTACTTCATAGTATGATTTACTATTAAAAAATATATAAACCTCATAAACCCAGTCCAATGAAAATTAAACTATGTCTAAGTATCATGATCATTTTGTTTGGCCTTTCTGTTGTATGCTTGAGTTTAGTGTAATAGCTGAATTTTAAAACGTTTGACCCGAGGTTAATTTGAATTATTTTCTTTCTGGTGGTAATTCTCTTCTTCAGCATTTCCCATCTTTTCATTTACCCCCTTCTCAGACCCCAAGTTTGTTGCTGCCCACCTCATCCCGGACAACGATGACCGAGACAATGACAAAGTGTATTTCTTCTTCACCGAGAAGGCTTCAGAGGAGGGGGACAGGGAGGAGGCCATACATGCACGAGTCGGTCGAGTGTGTGCGGTGAGATACTTCATAACAGTGTTTGCATTGTTTAACTGTAAATGATCAATTGTCAAGCTGCTTTAATTGAATTATCCTTGCTTTAGCCATTCTTTTTTTTTTTTTTTTCTGGAGTAATTGTTTGAACTCACTGGGGATTTTATATATAAAACTCAAGTTAGCCACAAAGAGCCGGTGATTAGATTGAGGAGCTCTCAAACTTCACGGATAACTTTGTTGGACAGGAGATGACGCGTTGAACTGTTAATCTGTTTAATGCGACACCTTCAAACCCTCTTGTTGAAAAGAGAACTCTCTCGTGTTTACATTTCCCCAAAAGACTGCAGAGGTATCATATTTTGAATGAGATAAATCCCGTTTCCTCCCAAACTGCATGCAGCTGTCAGATTCTCCAACTTCACTGTGCATCAGCTTAAGCTCTGTGACTTGCTTTCAAGCATGATGTCCTGTTAAACCATGTGTGCGATGTGAAAACCACACTCAAGTGGTATGCTTAAAAGAATACACATGAAGGCGTTATACACAGTTATACTGATATGCGCAGCTGCAAGGTTGCAGATTGGTGGGCTGTGCCAAAATGTTTTGAATTTTTCCTAGGGAAAAATCCAAGTTACATTTTTTCAATTTTAACCCCTCTTCATCTACAGATCTGCTCCTTTTTATGTTTCTCTTTTTATGCTCTTGCTGTTTAATGCTAAATGTGGCATTCAGTTATGTTTATAACTTGATTCCAGCACATTATATGCTTTAAACTGAGAGAACTTACACATTTATTGAGTAGAGTTAGATCTGGGGACCAGAGGTAATCAAATACTTAATTGCTAATATTAGGATGTACTGTATTAAATACATGATCCAAAGCTGCACGTTAGCATTTACTCAATAGGTTTCGTTTCTGCTCTGGCAGTTCTGGTCTACTTCCCTGAGGTTTTTTTTTTTTTAATTTTAATCTCCAGTCCTGCATTTTCACTTTTCCAGAATTAACCAAACTCACTATCTGCTCCTTTTAAAATCTTATTCAATACATTGTCTGCATGTTAATAAAAAAAACCAAAAAACTCTATAGTATTTTAACTGGGGTGTTTATGTGTTGAAAGAGGCTAAAGCTCTGCGCAGCTATTTAACTGGTGGCCCGCGGGCCTCAACATCAATCCGGTCCACTTCATAAGAAAAAATAAATACATAAAAAATTTATATACATACATATATATATAATTTTATATATATATATATATATATATAATTTTATGTTATTTTTTATTTATTATTATTATTATTATTAATATATTTTTTTTGGTGGGGGGTTTGGGTTCTGTTTCTGGCATTTATGATACATTGCAACAAAATAATTTTTTTAAAAGGTAACAGATCATTGTAAACTTTGATTTATTTATATCATGATTTTAATCGCTGGATGTCCGACACCCCTCCGAGCTGTTGGCTTTCAGAAACTGTGGCCCCCTGAGCAGTTTTTTTTTAATAGCTCTGGTTTAGATACACAGACAGGATCTGAAACATTAGCTATATTGTCCTTCGCCTCAGTCCAGTGTGATGAAGTAAAGGGCTGTGTTTCTTAGATTTATTGATTTATTTCTTTTGTATTTTCTGGCAGAATGATATTGGAGGCCAGAGAGTTCTGGTCCATAAGTGGAGCACCTTCATAAAAGCAAGACTAGTCTGTTCTGTCCCAGGACCTCATGGCATCGACACACACTTCAACCAGCTCGGTAAGACAAACTGCCGCACACAAAGCATGAAAATGAGAATTTGCATTTCTATGTGCATACGTTTCAGCAGCTAAAAGAATGGCTTAACTGGAAATGTCTTTATGCGACACAGAGGATGTTTTCCTGCTGAGGACCAAGGATGTGAGAAACCCAATCATCTATGCAATTTTCAGCACCATCAGGTAAACACACATGCTGCAAAAAACAAAACAAAAAAAAAAAACTGTTTTGACACATCATAATGTTCTGAAAAATAAAAGTTCAACAAAACAAGCTTTTAGTCATTCTGTCTTTGATTCAGTGCTTCTGTCAGAATATCTCCATGGTGAAACTGTTTTATAGTTTCACACCAGTTACATAAACAGAACTAACAGTTACTTTACTTTCATCTGTGATTTACCATTTTTCTTTGACAAACTGATCTACAAAAGTAGATGTGCACTCAAACTATGACATAACCGCACGTGTTTTTCTCTTCAGTAATGTGTTTCAGGGCTTTGCTGTGTGTGTGTATCGCATGGCTGACATCAGAGAAGCTTTCAACGGACCTTTTGCTCATAAAGAGGGTCCCAACTATCAGTGGGGTCCTTATGAAGGCAAAGTACCTTATCCAAGACCAGGAGTGGTAAGCATTACCATTCTGTAAGAATGCAAAGTTTGCTCACATGTGACAGTTTAATAGCTCAAATTAATAAACTATAAAGAGCTTATCATGATCCAAATATGTTGCACTGTTAAGAATATGTTGGTAAATTACTGGTCTTTAATATGCAGATGACACATTGTTTAACATTTATTTGTTTCCTTCTAAAACGTTACAAAAAATGTCTTTAAATCTATTTTTATTCTTGATTGTAAATGTATTTCAAGCAGAGAAAATGCTAATTTTTGATAACTATTTGTTTTATGAACAGACTTTTTTTTCTTAAACATGCTGAAGATTTAAACAAATGTACAAATTGCAACTACATGACGATTACATCATGTGTTAAGAGTTGTCAAACAGCTTCAGAATTTGTGGCTAACAAGTTATTTCTTACATCTAAAAATGTAGCCAAAACAAACAATTGCACTTAAAGCAAAACCTTTAGAAGACTGGTCTGTTCATACAACTGGGTTGAACTTTGCCCCACTGGAGCAGCTACTGGTACCATTTTCTCCAGAGTAAATCCACATCCAGTGACTTTGACTCTATGATGCTGTGTGAAACTGCACATTTTCTCAGAACTTGTTCAGCTAAAACAGATGTGCGTAGTCGATTAGTCAAGAAGCAGTTTTTATGTCCTATACTAGGTACAAAAACAAAAGAGGAAAAACATTATGGGATAGATGGGATATGAAAACATTAAACCCGAGGTGTAGAAAGTTTCCATATTAGTAGAGTAAACTGCTGTAAGTGGTAGAGCAGCTGTTGTGGCCGTACACAGCACAGAGCCCGTTTCTGGTTTACATCCTGACTCTGAGGAAAGCCTCTCAAGTTCTCTCAACCACATCACTGTAACTCAGCCTTGTTAAACACACAAACACATGCACACACTAAAATACATGCACACACTTAAATACGTGCACACATGGTGATGTTGTATGCGCTATTCCACTTCATTAGCAGAGTGAATGAGCGAGCACAGAGGCAGAAGATGATGAATAATGTGAGAACAGAGCAGACACCTCTGTGGTTTCACTCCTGCTGACTCTCTGATTAACAGGAATGTATCGGCCTAAACTCAGAGGAAAAGAAAGATGTTAAAAAATATATAAATAAGGAAGGTAGGAACAAGGGATGAGGCAGCACTGATGGTGGAAAGTGAGTGATTGCTACAGCTTCACTGTTAAATATCCCACCTGCAGTTTTGTATAGAAGCAAAATAATTATCCATTTTTTAACAATCTGATTTTGAGATTTATCAAGATCATTTATTGAATCATTCATTATGACAAATTTGAGGTTAGTGTTCCTCATCACTGTCTCTGAAGGTGCCAGTCAAACTACATAAATGTGTGAAGGCAACTAAAAACTTAATTTCACCTTTAGTTGGCAGCTCAGAACACCACATACAGAACACCATGGACTTTGTGGACAAGGTGAGAGATGTCATCATGGAGACTGATGAAACAATGGTCTCTTTTGATGTCACATCACTCTTTACGTGCATTCCTGTTGATGATGCAGTAGAGGTGGTCAGTTTAAAATTAAAATCAGACACCACTCTGAGCAGCAGGACCACGCTTTCTACAGAACAACTGTGTCAACTCTTGAAACTGTGCCTGCAGTCAACCTACTTCACATATGGGGAGCAATATTATAGGCAGAAACATGGGTGTGCTATGGGGTCTCCAGTTTCTCCTATTGTTGCCAACCTGTACATGGAAGAGGTAGAAAAGAGAGCCTTGACGTCCTTTTCAGGGACACCACCAAGTCATTGGTTCAGGTATGTTGACGACACCTGGGTTAAAATCAAATCTCAGGAAGTCCAACATTTTACTGACCACATCAACTCTGTGGATAAATACATCAAGTTCACACGAGAAGATGTAAAAAATGGCAGGTTGGCTTTCTTGGACTGTGAGGTCTCAGTCTCTGATAGAGGACATTTGCAAACTGAGGTGTACCGCAAACCCACACACACAGACCAGTATTTGCAGTTTGACTCCCATCACCCTTTGGAGCACAAGTTAGGAGTCATCAGGACTCTGTATCACAGAGCAAACAGCATCCCCACTAGCTCGGGAGCCAGGCAGAAGGAGAAATCCCACACAAGACAGGCTCTAGAGCAATGTGGATATCCTAACTGGGCCTTCCTAAAAGCAGAGAAGAAACCCAAACAGGACTCCAGTCAGCCATCAGGTGAAAAGGAGGAACCCAGACCCAGACCAGTGGTCATTCCATATGTTGAGGGAGTATCAGAGAAACTGAGACATTTATTTTCTAAACATAACGTCCCAGTGGCTTTTAAACCCCAAAATACATTACGGCAAAGACTGGTTCATCCCAAAGATCCAGTCCCCCGGCACAAACAGAGCAATGTTGTGTATGCTGTTCAGTGTCAGGAGGGCTGTGATCAGTCTTACATCGGGGAAACTAAACAGCCACTGGCCAAAAGGATGGCCCAGCACAGAAGATTAACATCATCAGGCCAGGACTCTGTGGTCTACACTCATCTCCAGGCCAGCGGTCACTCTTTCAAGGATGAAGATGTTCACATCCTGGACCGAGAGGAACGATGGTTTGAGAGAGGAGTAAAGGAGGCCATCTTTGTGAAAAGAAATCGTCCATCGTTAAACAGGGGTGGAGGCCTCCGGGTTCAACTGTCCCCCTCTTACAATGCTGTGATTGCTAGTATCACTCAGCCCTCTGTGAGTAGTAAACAACCATCAGTGTGCTAATGACCCATTGTTAGGCTGATGGTCCTTCTTGAGCATGTGATCAGCTGGTTTTGGTTGTCAGCAGCAAAACTGGTTGATCCACTCTGAGAAGGTGCTATTTAAGAGACTGAGCTGAATACAGCTCCTCAGACTGAGGAAGTCTCTTGGATGAGAGACGAAACGTTTCTACATTTTTTTGTTGATTTGCTTTGGGTTTTTTTTGTTTTTTTTTATGTCCAGAGGTTCAGATTGAACTTTTTTGGATTTTTCTCCCTGGATTATTGAGCATGCATCAGGATGTTAATTTCACCTTCCTTAAATGACATTTTGAAAGAAACATAGCGCTCATTTATCTTTCTTATGATATTTACATTGGGTTGAAATGTTTCTGTACATTGTTGAAATTTGTGTCAAAACTCATGTTTTAACAGAAAATTATGGGATGCTTTTTATTGCAGGGATGCCAAGGGTTTATATGTAATTCCACAGGGTCTGGGCAAAGTGTGGTATTGAACTTTAAACTTTGACTGACATTAACAAACATTTCAAGTTTTGTATCTGAGCACTTGAATTACATGGGTGTTTCTCTTGGACAGAATTATCTTTTTTGAAATATCACTTTTATAACTTTTTTCTCTACTTTACTTTATAAAATTAAAGAAAAGGGGGTTAGAACTGGTAATGGCTGGTTCATACTTTCTAGATCTATCTTGATATAGATTAAATAATTAAAATATATATGTAAAAAGCAATAGCTTTTGTTTGCTTGGTATGAATGACAGAGCTTTGTAAAAAAAGACCCACAAGTACACTGACTGTTCAATAAATGTAAAAACATGAAACGTAAAAATTAAAGAACAAGCTTCTTTCATCCCTGCTTACGTTTCATACAACAAATGCCCGTTTGGCATCCTTGTGAGAAAACTAACTGCATATGAACCCACCCCAAATGTTTAACAGTTTTAAAAAAGAGGAAATTTGGACCATAATCCTGATTTTAATGGCTATTTTCACAGACCTATCAGAATAAAACCACAGGGAACAATAATGCAAACGTGTCCAATGGTTGAATGATTAGCTGCCTTTTCTTGAACATCTTGATGAAGCCAATAGTTTCTCCTATAATGTTTGTAAAGAACTTAAGTATGGTCTTTGTCTGATTTCTGCAGTATTTGATCACAAGTTACTGTCCTTTATTGCAACATAATTCTAGAAAAGTGAAACTTGGGTGCAACAAATTAACAAACCATCTCTCATGATGGGTTTTGCCACCAACAGAAAAAAGGACTTTTCTTCTCCTTACTTGGTTTAAACATGTTAAAAAAAAACTTGCCTTAAAGATTATTGGGAAAAAAAAACTTCCTGTATAACAGACACTTTGGCTGTGTCATTAAGAAATCGGATCTATATTGTGATCAGATTCAAAGTTTATACAGTTCTTGTATTTTATTTGGACTTTGTTTTGCTGTCTTTATCATGAGTCATTCAATGAACCTGCCAAGTTCGCGCACACTGATTGTTTTGTTTTTACAGTGGCACAGATTGAATATCTTTCTCCAATTCCTTTGGAGATAATTCCTAGGCTTGATGTCATTAACTTTTACTCAGTCTTTAAGCACAGTATAAAACTCAAATAAGAGGTTTTAGACTCTAAGACCATAATTAAGCTTTGGTTTGTTTGGAAAGAACACCCATAAGTGGGTATAAAATTGTAGGAATTTAAAACCAGTGTGGAAAAGAGCCATAAATTTGCTTTAAAACTTAAATTTTTCTAACTTTCACTAAACTCATAAATTTGAACTATTTTTCTTTTAAACGCATTTTTTTAATTATTAATGGTTTTTTTTAGTGCCCTAGTAAAATCACCAATCAGCCTGGCAGAGAGTTCGGCAGCACGAAGGACTTCCCAGATTCGGTGCTGCACTTTGCTCGCAGTCACCCGTTGATGTGGCGGTCGGTGTACCCGGCCCTACGCCAGCCGGTACTTGTAAAGGCCAACATTCCCTACAAGCTGACGCAAATTGTGGTCGACAGGGTTGAGGCAGAAGACGAGCAGTATGATGTCATTTTTATTGGTACAGGTATGATTCAATACATGATACATGATTATAATTCAATGTTTGATTTATTTGGAAATAAGATTGTGATTTATTTTACACACATCACACTGGGACAGAACACATTAGGTAATAAAATGCATCAAACCGCTCAGTCACGAGTTTGCTCTTTTTTTCCAGATGTTGGTAAAGTGTTGAAGGTAATCGCGCTGCATTCTGGAAACAGTTTAGAAACGGAAGAGGTCACGCTGGAGGAGCTACAAGTCTTCAAGGTAAGTTTTATTTTAACAAGTGTGGTAATGGCTGTACAGTATGCAACCAGGCTTCTTACTCAAACTTTATTTCTTTATTTGATACAAATAATCCATGAATGTATATCATATTTTTTGGACTATAAGGCACACTTAAAATCCTTTAATTTTCTCAATCCGGTGCACCTTATGTATTAATTCTGGTTATGCTTTTGACCTCAAACTGATTTTATGTGGTACACGGAGCTCAAAAATCTGTCAAAATGAACTTGTTTCGCTTTCGGGGGGGGCGAGATGGTGCAGAGGCAGAGCAGCCGGCTCGGGACCCGAAGGTCCCGGATTCAATCCCCAGTGATTGCACATCTTGTGGTGTCTCTGAGCAGGGCACTTTATCCCCGTTTGCTCCCCAGGCGCTTTCCATAGCTGCCCACTGCTCCACCTGGTGGTGGATGGGTTAAATGCAAAAAGCCAATTTCACCATTGTATGGGAACATACAATGATGACAATACATACACATTATTATTATTATTATCGTTAATGCACCTTATAATCCGGTGTGCCTTATAGTCTGAAAAAATATGGACTATGAGGACTAAATTACATATATTTATATGGACTAAAATATTTATACTTATACGGACTAAAATAAATAGTATCTACATTAGTACTGTATGTAGATACTATTTATTGTTTTGCATTTCTAAAGGAGTCCTAATTTTCCCAGAAAGTGTCACTTGTCACATTATTTTCTTCCTTGCTATTTTGGTTTTGTTTCGTGAGCTTTTTTTTTACAAACTTTAAATTAAATGTTTTCATTTCTTCAGGCACCAACTCCAATTACATCAATGGAGATATCTGTGAAAAGGGTGAGTTCATTCGACAGCTTGGGCTTGCTTCTATCCAAAAAATATTTTCCTGACAAATGTTCTTCTTTGTCTTTGTGTTTCCTGTCCACCAGCAAGCCCTGTATGTGGGCTCTCCAGCAGGCGTGGCGCAGGTGAAGCTGCATCACTGTGAGACTTATGGGAAAGTCTGCGCTGAGTGCTGCTTAGCCAGAGACCCTTACTGTGCCTGGGATGGATCGTCCTGTACACGGTTCGTTCCTAACAGCAAGCGCCGCTACCGAAGGCAGGACATCCGGCATGGAAACCCTGTTCTGCAGTGTGTGGATCAGAATCTGAGCGGTACGTGTGCTTTACCTTTCCCAGCTCAGTGACTTTCTGGTGTATCTTTGCAAGCTTGGAAACCTTATAGTGTTGGCAAGGCTCTCAGTTTCTGCTGGAAAGATTTTGTTTAGATTGAAAAGTTGATTCAGTCCAAACTAAAGTTCTGTGGTAGATTTAACTTATCTGTTTCCAGGCACTCTGCTCAGCTGAGCTACAGGAGCATTAGTCAAAATGTTGACATTTTCTTATGGTATTGGAAACAGATTGAGATGTATCTGTATTTTTTTATGAGTGACTGCATTAGAAATTTAACAACTAGTCTGCTCAGATTACCTGATTATAAGGTAAAAGATAGTATTTGTAAAGAAGCATGTCAAACTTTGTACCAAGATGACGCTCACATGAAGTTTATTTCACAATTAATGCACATTTTTTTTCTCTTGGTAATGTGGTTACATTTTAAAAGTCAGCTTTACATTTGTCTTTCCTCATTTCTTGACACTACAGACCAGAGTTACTCATTTCACTGCCTTACAAAGGGGTTGTGCCCTCCGTGTCAACTCTCATTAAGCTACCATAGTTCTCTTTTACTTGCTTCTTCCTTTTCAGGTCACGGGCTTGCTGGTGCCCATATGCATCAGTCGCAGTGCAAAGATGATAGATGGATGCATAGATGGATGTATGGATTGTATGTATGGATGGATGGATAGCTTCATGTTTATTTGCTCTCTCTAAATATTTTATTCCCAACTGGGTTAAGCCAGTAACAGTTTAGTGATTGTACATTTTATTTAAAGTAAGGTTTCAATCAAGTTAATATAGTTGAGCACGTATATGTAATTATAGTAGGCAGCTAAATAATTAATGGTTAGGTTGAAAATTTCACAAAATCGTGTTGTCATACTGAGAAAGACAAGAGAACAGAACAAAACAAGATCAGTGATTAATGAAAATATGGAAAGACGAACGTGTGAATGTAAAATTGGCCAAGAGGACAGAAAAGTGTGTGTTAGTTAATGTGCTTGCTCACCTGAGTGTGAGGATGTGAGGGGATGACAGTGGGCTCTGTTTAAGCCTCCAGGTGAACCGTACTCATACAAGACGTTTTCGGGTTGGGTTTCTGTTTAAGTGACATTTCAAAAGTTTTGTTTTTGTCGTTAAGACTGATATTTTACCTTAATTGACTCTGTGTGCTTGAACTTTTACACTATTTCAGGCAACGGTACTTCTGAAAAGTTCATTTTTGGAGAAATGTTATAACAAAAAAGGGAACATAAAAAAGGAAAAAGTTACACCAATGATGAAAAGACAAATTAAGACTTAAACATGATCAATCATGTACTTTTAGTTTTACCTCAACAAAATAAAAAAACTAGAATAAAAATATGATGCACACTGGCCCAACATAGTCTAAATCAGAATGCATGCAATCCTCAATTCATAAAGAGAGTTGGGCAAATTTTATTTAAATAATTTCCTTTAAAATTGCTTAACAAGCGAAGGATCCATTTGAGTCTTTGCAGTCAAGTCAGTAGTTTATTAGACTGGGAGCAGATTTGTTTTGCTGCTCTTTTGGCTCACAGTTCAGTTTCTCCAAAATCTGCACAACAAACATTTTATTGATTTCAAATTCCAAAAAAAGCAAACAAACTCAGGAGCAGAAAAAAAGTGGACATTTTTAATAAAAAATATTATTATCTCATCTTTGCTTTGACTGAGTGTGTTTTTGCTTTTACTAAATGCCTATTTTTGTTTTAATGAGAAGATCTGGATGTGACAGAAGACAAAGTGGTTTATGGGACTGAGAAGAACAGCACCTTCCTGGAGTGTGTTCCTCGCTCACCACAGGCTGCAATCACATGGCTAGTCCAACAGGAAGACCGCAAAGAAGAGGTGAGACAAGTAGTCAAAGCAAGCGCATCAAAATAATAATACTAATTTAAAAAAAAATCTCAAAATATGGATAATAAAATGCGTATGTGACAGGAGGAAAAAGTAAAAGTGTTGACTGTGGAGTGAAACTTCTGAGGAACGGTGGTCAAATTAACTGCCTGTAAAAAGTGGATTAGTGTGTGATTTTGGCACGTGGCTGACACATTTGACAGCCGTTTGACATGTGGTTCAAATCAAGTCGTTTTATTGCATAGAAAAGTTCACAATTGCTCTGTCTCTTGAATAAACAGGGGATTTTTATTTTTTGCCAACCTCAGCCTCTGACAGATCAAGTGTCAACTAATGTCTACAAGCAACTGCGACTCGACTTCGATACAAAGCTGTGAAGCTGTTTAAAGTTATATTTAGTCAATGATGTAGAGTTATGAGTCGACACCCTCAAAGATCGTTCATTTGGTCAAGGTCAATGTGCCTCGATTAGTCATGTAAGTCTTAAGGAATTACTAACATTACCGTTTCCCTGTAAACGAACATTTGGCTGTCTCTGGACTGCAGTGTTTGTGTTGGCTCTGATGGACAGCAGGAGGGGCAGAGGAACAGAATATCTAAAACGGAGGTAGAAAATAAACAGAATCAATGTAAAGGGTGGAATAATGACTGGGTGGTATATGGTAGAGAGAGGGGAAATAATTAACACAGAAAAAGCATGAGAAAACTGTATTTTATGCTACATTTATGTTGAAGTTCAGGTTGTGGAAACAAAGCAGCCCTTGTTCTGTGTGTGCTGTGTGTGTGTGTGGGGGGGGGGGGGAGAGAGTGCTTAAATTGCTTAAGCACAATAAACCAAATATAGCATTCTCTTTTTTCAACTTTTTGTATTTTTTTATATTTCTATACACAGCATATAAGCAGTAATTAATTTTTCTCCTACAGAGATGGGTGATTTTGTAGAATTAAGCTCTGTTTAACGAGATCTTATTCAAGATAAATCAGGACCAGAATGTTAATAAATTGGTTCTTTTACAGCTTTTTGACAAGTGTCCTTCAACAATTGCAATTATTCAACATCTTTCGACAAAATAAATAAAAAATAAACAGACAAAAAAAACTCACAATTGTTCACCCAGTCTTGGGTCATTCATCAGCTCTTCTTAATGTTCACTGAAATTCAAAACTATGTACAAATATGGCAACATAATATTTAGAAAGATAACGATAAAGATAATAATACACATAAATATGCCACTTGTGCAATGTCAAATATATCTTATACTATAATATAGAAATACTGACCACATGATTTATTGATCTATTTTGTTAATTAATCTGCAACACATTTTGAAATATTAACCTATGGAATTTGACAAAACCTTCCAAACTTTACATGTTGCCTCCACAACAACACGAACCACACTTGCGTTGTGGTTCATTTTCCCCCAGAATAAAATTTGAGGAAATGTAAAAGCAGTCATAAAATAATGTGAAACTACTTTGTAAAACAATGCTTGTCTATAGAAAAGAGTTTTTAGTAAAAAGACACTTGCTAAACTGAATTAGGCCTGGCTAAGTTACACACATTAAAAGGGCCAGTGGGAAGCAAATCTGTATTGTGAACAATTAGATTAAATTTATATTATCAATGAGTGATTTCATTCAACCTTTATTTAGACAGGTAAATCCCATTGAGCCTTGAGGACTCATTTACGAGAGAGACCTGATTTCAACAAAGAATGATGACAACAATGGACAACAGCAATAGACAGCCACAAAAAGGCATAGAGATTTTTAATTTTTTACAAATAAGATGGCAAAAAAAGTAAAAAAAAAAAAAAAACAGCTAGATTTTAAGGCAAATGTAGAAAACTAAAAACAGGAACATGTCTGCATTGGTCCTTGCCAAGAGATTAGACTTCAGACAGTGAGGATATAGTGATGATGTCAGGTAAAAGAATGGAGCATTCCTTTTATACAAAATACACAAGTAGAAATTAGAATTTAGGACATTTCTGCTTCCATGTATGTCAAAAAAGGTTGAATAGTGAGGATGTCTTTTTCAGAATGGTTCATGTTGCACCAAAGCAAAGACCAGTAAGACTTGTCTGTATTAAATATGTTGACTCAAAGATTTTTTTCATGGCTTTGGATTGTTTCAAGCCTCCAAGCTACTGTATGTTTACATGAAGGGAAGTCTGAGATTGTCATCACTGTGTTTCCATACATTGGTGAAATTGGTTCTCTGCATTTCACCCATCGCACCTGTGATACACCCAGGTGGAGCAGTGGGCAGCTATGTAAGAGCCCGGGGAGCAATTAGGGATTAGGTGTCTTGCTCAGAGACACTACGACATGTGGGAATGGCTGGGAGTCGAATCAAGACATTCTGGTCCGCAGTCGGCTGCTCTACCTCTACCCCATCTCGGCCCCTACCTGTATGAACCATCATACAGGAAAACATCTTGTGAAATGTGCAAAGCAGTAAATTTCCAATACCAAAATTTGGTCCTTTGCCTATAGATTATGCAAATATGTCAGAATATACTAGAACATTCATCATTTTAATTTTATTCATTTATAAAATATACATTTAGTTTAAAAATATAAATATAGCTTTGAAGCATAGACCTACTTTATTTGCAGCAAAACATAGGAAAGCATAGAAGAGTAACAACTTTTGACAAGCAGAACCATCGTTTCATGGTCAAGAAAAAGATCCTGTTTTCAGACTATGTGCAAAATGGACATCTGTGAGCTTCAAACATCTGCTAAGTTCATGGGAAAAACCAATGCAGACATGTTCTTATTTATAGTTTTCTACATTGCCTTACAGCCTAGCTGGTTTTTTTTGTTACATTTTTAATACCATTTTATTTTCACTTGTTATTCTCAATTTGTGTGCATCCTCTATGATTGTCCACTGTTGTCATCACTCTTTGTTAAAATCAGATGTCTCTTGTAAGTGAGTCCCCGAGGCTCAATGGGATTAACCTGTATAACTAAAGGTTGAATGAATGGATGAATTTAAAAAAAAATCAACTATAAAATATGAAAACATGTTCTCTTGCCTCACTCAGGTGAAGTTGGACGATCGTGTGATGTCAACAGAACAGGGTTTGCTGTTCCGTCATCTCTTCCGTCAGGATGAAGGCGTGTACATCTGCCGCTCTCGGGAGCACGGCTTCACGCAAACACTGGCTCGCATCACCCTGGAAGTCCTCCAGGGGGACACTGTGGATGAGCTCATGGCACGTGACAACTCGGGGCTCTCTGACACGTTCAAAGACCGGTCCGCAGGAAGCTACAGGCCCTGGATGCCTTGCAACACTTACAGCAGGGGCGGCTCACCGAGCCAAATCGGCCAATCACGCACATGGTTCAAGGACATCATGCAGCTCATCGGGCCATCAAACCTGCCACACGTGGAGGAGTACTGTGAGAGGATGTGGTGCAATGACAAGATCCGGAGGAAACACAAGGGCATGTTGGAGAAATATCGCCAAGCACAAGAGAGTGCTAGGAAGGCTCGTAGCAAGAGCTCTGGTGAACGTAACCGGACCCCACGAGACCTAAGAACCTGGGAGGTTTAACATGAAAAAAAAAAAAAAATTGTAATTATGGTTTTAGGACTGAATCACAAAGTCAAAAACTAGCTCAAAATTTTTATTTAAAAATAATTTTGTAGATGAGTCTGTTTTGGCCTTAAAGGGAACAATTAAAAAAAAAATAAAAAAAAATAAAAAATGGAAAAACTTATTTAGATTCACATGAGTCTCGGATCTGTAGATGAATTAAAAGAAAGTTCAGCTTTAATTAAAAATCTCCAGAGTGTTGCGCTGTATTTGCCAACAACAAGCTTAACATGTGTTGGGAGGTTTAAATATTGTGAAATTATTAAATGCGTGTAAAAGTTGGGTTCTCACTCAAAGGCCGAGTTAACTTTTCTGAAGAGACAACCCATCGTGAGAATTTTTTCTGAACTGAAAAACATTACAGATTTCATCATTATAAATAAAAAATACTTTTTTTTAAAAAATTATACTCCAAGGATGCTTTTACACTTTGAATTACAAAGGACTTATTTCCTCAGACTTTTTCTGCTTGCATACTTTGTTACAGAGATGACAGACTTGACACATTTCATCTCATCATTTCTCAACAAAGTCCTCAAAACATTTCAAACCACAAATTCTTCAACATGTTCGAACCTGTGGACTTCATTTACTGACAGTCAACCTTGTTTCATCGTTGCTTTTCATCCCAACAGACACTTATGAAGACTTTCTTTTATTTTTTGCTATTATCAAACTGTTGACTTATAAAACTGTTCTACACAGAAATACTGTAAAAACTTTCTGATTTTCAATCTGGATGCTTTCAAACAACCCGATCACTGGATTCATTTCATTGTTTTATATTTATATTACATGTGTCTTACTTGGACAATAACCAACTTTTGTTTTTATTTTTTTAACAAGAAACTAATGGAGTATACACACACTGACATTAAATGAAACCTCAGACACCCAGTATGAGTGCCTAAGCTAAGCTAACGCAAACTAAACGACTGTTGATGGTTCAACAAATTTAGGGCACACGTTTATTTTTATTTTTTATTTTACTTTATTATAAATTTTTTGGACTTACTTTTCCATTAAACACCTGCTAAATGTCAAAAGATCAACACACATAAACATAAGTTCTTGTTCTGTGTTGCAGCACTTCTCAGAATACATTTTATATATATTTTTTATTTTAAGCTTTATTTATACAGATAGTCTCATGGAGTCACGAGAACTCATTTTCAAGAGAGACCAGTTTGGGAGCAGATGGTGGGGGTTAAGGGCCTTGCTCAAGGGCCCAGAGCAGTGCAAATGAGGGTGGAGGCAGGTGTGGGTGCTTCACCTTTTCCTCCCACACTTTTATGTTGGCGATCCTGGGAGTCGAACCGGCGACCTTCTGATCACAAGCCCACCTTCTCTTAACCTCTGCGCCACCACTCCCTCACAGTATGCACACAAGTACATACAGTACTTACAAAACTACTTGGATAAATGAGATGAGCTGACAAATAAATAAATAAGTAAATCAGACCCACAGTTTTAAACGTCTGTGGAGGTCCTGTGGTGTTTAGCACAAACAAGTTCAGCAGATTTTTAGTTTTTTTGGTGCATGCATGTGCAGACCTTGTAGATCAGATTATTTTCTACTGCATCTTGTGGATGCTTTTCCAGGCAGATGGGGAAGGGTTCGGAGGTCACCTTGTGCTTTCAGATGAGTTCATTAAGCATGTTTAGAAATTGAATAACGTGCGTTGTAGTTTCACAACAGAACACTGCATTATCAAAGATGACTGCTTTAATTTACTTTGGACATCAGATGTCAGTGATTCGACCTAAATCACAGATAACTGACCATTTACTTAAGGGAACGCTCCAGAACTCACTGTTTCTAAATTCACCACATAGAAGGTTAAGAGAACCAAGTTCTCTTGTGCTTTCTGTAAATACTAGTTTTAAACATCTAAAGTTGTCTCAAATTAAGATCGTCTTCTAAACATGGACACTGAAAAGGAGAGGTAGGGGTGCACCGATTGCAGTTTTCTGGCCGATCACCGATTTCTAAAAAGTCTGACATGCCAGTTCCAATTTTGTTTTATAAGCAACACTGTCAGATGTTATAAGGTCACAATGCACCTTCAATTTTCCAATATTAATTTATTGAAAAACATACCCTTGAACAATATCCTAGAAACAATACAAATGTATTTTAACTGGCCATGAGGTAGTGCTCTGAAATACGAATTAAGTTTAGACAATTGCTGTTGAAACAAACAAACAAACAAAAAATTGGTAGAATCAGTTTCTCATTCAAGTATTGGCTGATTTATCGGTGCACCCCTAAAGAGAGCAGATGAAAAGTTCGAGTGGTATGACGGAGATGACAGGTCCATGCATGAAAAGGGATTGGAAATAACACTAAGCATTTATTTTGTGTTTTGTGAGTTATGTATGAATTATAGGTTTGCAAATAGCACAAACACCTTCAAACATATTTTGTTTGTCTTTCAGTTTTGATAAAACACTCCCACTGACAGAAATGCTGGTTTGTAGCATTAAAAGTAAAGAAAGTGTTGGGAAGCAACGCTAATACCAGTTACCTGTGGAGGAGAGAAAATGACTTTTCAGAGGAGTGAAAGTGTGCAGAAGAAAGTTGTGATGTTAGTTTTTTTACCCTAAGGTACTACAAACTGTTTAAACTTTTATGATTCCTGATTTATTTGTGCAAATCATCCCCAAATATTCACTATTTTTAATAAGTGACACATCTATACCCATCAAGTGCAGTCTGGTCTGTTCAGAATATTTAGGCACATACTTTACTTTAGTTTCGTTTTTTTTTCAGATTACCATGTTGCTAAACTAAGATAAAAAAAAATAAATAAAAAAAAAACTCAAATAAAAACAAATCCTGACAATTTAGTAAAATATGACATACTTTAGTTGTGGTTGTAAAATGTAAGCTTTTGTTTCTTTAAACTGTGAATAACTATAATTTAATGTGTAAAATAAGTGTTCACTTTTGTTACAGTGATTGTAGAAATGCAGTAAAGCGTGTTTTCTTGTTGTGCTTGGACAGTTTTTCTAAAACAAACTTATAAGTGAAGACCCGTCCTGGGCAGCGCTTTGACACAGACTTTAAGTGAAATGACTGAATGCTGTTATTATTTTGTCTGTAAACAGAGTAAATCCATAAAAAAAACATCAGTTTGTGTGCAGCTGAAAACAGTTTGTGATATTGCATGTGACACAAGTTTTTTTTTTAAATACTTTGGACTCACGGCCATTGTTGCCTTCACATCCAGCTGTGGTATTTGGTGTTGTGCGTGAAGAAACTGATGAATTCTTCATGAATATTGAGATAGTTTAATGAAAAAACGAGGCAACAAATTTTAATAAACAGGTTATAGACTTGTTTCTCCACCTAAGTGGTTGTATTTTTATCACAGGAACTTTTGAACTATTCTATTATTGTGAAATGAAATTGTGAGCTGGTCACAGGGCGTGTGAAAGACATCAAATGTGTATTTATATTCTATTTAAGTGCTTTTCTACCATGCATGCTATAAAGTTGTATACTACTCAACACAATTAAAAGTTGGTTGTTTTATCATTCAGCGTGCCTCCTAACAAGTTTGTTGAGGATGAAATTGCATTTTGGTAAGATAAGACCAATGGCGCCACAGATATAAACACAGAACCAGCAGAGAGTTCAAGTGAGTCATTCTTCTAAACTGTTTACTTGAGTTTTATACTCTGATACTAAATGAGCAACATGCAGAATACACACCTGCAGGGAAGCCATTTGGCATTCACTGGTTGGATGGAAGAGACTGGTTTCATTTCCCATGTCTTTCATGTCATCTATTTACAAATGTGTGCCATTCTTAGCCTTTGAAGGCCAAAAATATCTTGCTGAATAAAGAAGAAATCAGCCTTAGAAGAGCAGCCGGGACCATCTTTATATTCAACCTTTATTTAGATTATTTATTTATTAACCTTATTTAGACAGGTAAATCTCATCCCACATCACTGTACATTCAACTTTAGGTAAGCTGATCCATGTAATAAGGCTCCCATCAGTATTGTGCAGAGCACACATGCATATGTTGAGGTGGTATTTGCACTAAACCTTGTGTGTGTGTGTGTGTGTGTGGGGGGGGGGGGGGGGGTTCCAAGACTTTATAATACTTAAAAGATGTGTTTGCAAGTGATTGGAGAGTTGGAATCCCAGTGCTGACCCATTACGTTACCCAGTGACTGCATCTGGCCATGCAAGTGATTGGAGGGTAATTGGGCTTCAACATCTGGAAATCTGAACTAACCAGGGCTGCTCGTCTCTTTAGCAAACACGCTATCTTGGAATTGAAATGAAATTTACGTGCATCAAAATTCAGAAAGCCAGTTTTCAGTGTTTAATGTTGAAGAAAGTTTGACTTGCTTAGATTGAGATGTCCATTAATACCATGTTCCCTGAGGTCAGCGGACCAGTTGCTCCTCACAGTTCCAGGATCTCGTCTTAAGCGCAGAGGTGACAGGGCTTTCTCTGTAGCAGGACCAAGACACTGGAATGAGTTACCTCTGCTTGTCAGACAGGCCCCCTCCCTATCAGTTTTCAAGTCCCGTTTAAAAACCCACTACTATTCAGTAGCTTTCAACACCAGGTGATCTGTGTTTTGAACCTGTACGCTCCACACTGGTTAGTCTTCATTATCTGCATCGTTTTTATGTCTATATTCTGATTTACTTAATTTTGTATTTTGCTTTGTGTGTTACCTGTTGTTCTGTCTGTACAGCACTTTGGTTGGCCTTGTCGCTGTTTTAAGTGCTCTATAAATAAAACGGTATGGTATTAATAAATAAACACAAGCACAGCGCAAATCAAGACAAAACAGTAGCAAATAAAAGCTACTAGCAAATTTAGGTCCAGAAGTCTTTTAAGGAGTTTTTAATTTATCTCACATAAATATTTTTTAAAATGTGATAACAATATATGAATTAATACCAATAATTATTGATAAATAATAAAATAAACTAGTAGTGGTGTCCAGCTCTACAAATCATAAATAAATAAATAAATAAAAGTTTTTTTTTATTTTTTTTAATCCCTGCTATCTCAAAGCATGACAGAACAGAAAGTGCATTTTAAAGAGAATGTGAAGACTTTCTGAACTACTGTTCATGGTAGACTGAAGAAAATATAT